GACCCACCCCACTCAGTACCGACAGTACAACAGGATAAAAAGCTCAATCATTACACTTGCAAGTTTCTTTTAGTCTGGGTCAAAAGAAATGATAAAAGCTGTGTGATTCGACCCAGAAGCCTTCTGCGTTAAAAAAATGCACGATTGAAGCATATACACCTGCCAAGCTTCTAACCCATAGATGCTTGGATATTAAACTGTGCAACACTTGTACCCCGTAGTCAGCAGTTTGATCTCTGGTAAGATAGGAAGATCGAAGATCGTTCAGCTGTAAAAACCTTCCGGTCCCAAGTAACCACGCGACCCTAATGAAGCACGAAGACGATTTGGTACCAGGGTGCACAGGAACAGTTCAGATGCAGAGGTCGTATTAGACGTTCCCGTCAGAAATTCCGCACCACTGAGCCATCTCCGGCTAACAAGTGTGCGTAGGTCGCAAGCTGCATCCATTGACTCCAATAAAGGACTTCATTTGACAAAATGGATCTAGCGGAATTCCATCGTCATGCGATTTCATGAAGATCTGCTCAACGCCACTAATTTTACAAGATTATAAGCACAAGAGTATGCCATTTGTGTGCGACTGACTTCAAAAGGGGTTATAAAGACCAACGGAAGCGGACAAACAAGAATGAACCAAAATCGGAATGCAACAATCAATACAGTGTAGGAATCGATTAATGAACGCAAATACAAGGTCAGTCGATTCACCTCTCAGTTTTTTGGGTGAAAATGAGGCATATATGAAGCTCATGTACGCCGGCACGGTAGGTAGGTATTCCAAGTGAAGTTGTCAATCATTTCCTGAATGACTCCCGAGCACCCCGGACCCTAACTTTCGTGAGTTGTAACAGATCCATCAAAGGCAGTCATTGCTGATGCGTGTTTTCTACTGGCGCGATTTAAGATGTTGGATCAGGGGTCCCCGTAGCCGTTCCGTTGCACGCTGCATGTGGTCTCTAACCGAGGGCTACATCGTTCGTGCTGTCAGTTTCCATACAGAGTAAGCGTATGGAGACGTTGGTACTTCGGACTCTTGTTGCAGACTAGCTGTGAGCTCGGTTTTTCTCATTACAGAATATTATTTGAGTAAGTCAACATAGTTGTATGACAGATAGTATTTTGACTGTGATTACGGTGGTTGGTGATTGGGGAAGCAGTGGAAGAGGTGAAATTTGGAATGATAGCAGCTGAGGTCAAATCCGGCATCATTATTTAAATTCTCTCAATCGTTGTCCGGTTAAGAGGTTACTGGATAGGAGTCATGCTTGATGGGGACATATCAATAAAGAAGATTTTCATTGTATGTGTCTCGTGTGAGTAAAGTTCCGGTTGGCCTGAATATCGACGTGCCACCTTCAAACCCACCAAATCGAAAGGTTCATGTTCAATGAAAGCACTTCAGTGTAGGCTCAATCGTGTGCAATCCTTTGCGTTGGGAAACAGTCACTGAGTAGAGTCGTGATAAAACTACTCCATTCTATATGTGAGAACTGGGACGATTATCGCTGCAAAACACACGAGCTGTTTAAAACAAAATTTGATGGCGGACAAGTCTAAAGGGAATCTGGTCGTCTGAGATGAAATGCATTGAGTTCAATAAGATGTTGGTAGTCGATCAGGTGGCTGTTGATCTGTTTGCCGAGCTTTGCAATCGATTTGCAAACGCAGACACGAAGAGAGGGACCATCCAAACCACAGTGAACTGAAGATGTCTCCTCGAATGGTGACGAACCGTTTGCAAATCAATTGCCAAGCTCGGCGAACAGATCAACAGCCACTTTACAACTACCAACTAATGCACCCGATCTGCCAATATTTCAACACACTATCAACTAGATGTTTTTTCTTGTTTTTTAGGAAGGAAATTGAATTCCACCAATTGGGTTTGCCAGTACAGGGGCGCGACCGCCAACTTGGAGGACTAGTGTTCGCATCTTGGGTTGCTGTCAATGGTGGCCAGCATTCATTACTCTGGGAGTTAGCTTTCATTTTGACGTGTTCCCTGAACCCTCGTCGCAACGTATAATTATGTGAGATTCTGATAAAAATGACGAAATCTGACACTGTAATGTGCATTTATGCAAAACACAGCAAAAAGCACATCCGAAACGAACCTTTAAAATCAAAACTCGCTATCAGCTTAGGTGTGATGAGGGGTCACGTGGTAGCAGAGTCAACTACCGAAACCAAATCCCACGTGATCGACCCTGCCAAATCCACCTGAACACACACTAGCCGAAAGAGTTGTTCCGCGATAAAAGACTGACAAGGCGCCACCGCAATTTGTCCACCAAATAAAACATCGCTTCGTCTAATATGCTGAGTCCGACGAACAGACCTATACACAAGTCATGTTACTGGGGTGTCCAGTAATCAGGGACCGGGACCAACTAGTCTAACTAGGAGAAGCCTTGACATTAATGGATGCACGTGGCATGATTGATTTCCGCTCCCCTATTTTAAATACGTTTTTATTCGTTCAAGGTATTTTCACTACGTCGCGATAGGCAGAGGACAGAATCTGTCGGGAGAATTGCTGCATTTTTCGCTGCACAAAATTATTGTCCAATGTCTCGTTCTATTGAGAAGCACTCACAACAAAATTACCGTCCGATCTACTTTTATTCTACTCTAACGAGTTCTCCCCGATCCTTTTGGCCACTTCATAGTCCATGTTATGCTCAACTTTTCCGGCTAAAAATCTATCCACAAAAACTCCTAAGGACCCTTGCCGTCAACTGTGAACCTCTTAAGTGCTAAAGTATTCCGGGCAAAAGATATGATGCCTGATGTAGGTAGTTGGGATAGCGTTTGAACAACACTCCTCGACACCCGTCAAGACAGTTCTAGTCAGTCCAGTGGAGAACCAATGAGATATCATTTTTGTTAAAGCCAGTCAGTGGTTCATATCCTTGTTCATGCTGAGATTTAAAACCTGAACATGTGACATGTGGGGCATACCTAAATAGTCGCGTCTGATTGGGCAAACATGTTCACACTCGAGCGATATAGCCAATCTGGATTAAGCGAAATAAGCGTGTATGGACAGTTCACGCCGAAATGCTTCGAATACAAAATAATGTTGATAGAAGTTCGAGAACATGTAATCACCCAGCCTGTATTAAAGCAAATTTCTATGACCTAATAATCGCCCCGAATCGAACATGAGATGGCCTTTCTTGGAGAATATTATAGTCTCAGTTGAACAGTATTACAGACAAGAGGTTTGTGTGAGTTTCTGCTGAGTCACTCGCCAAAATCGATCCAATTTGAAAAAGTGTGTTTATCACACATTCAAGTGGGAAATAAGGTTGGCGAAAACTCAAGGACTGCGCCTACCTGATGAGCCCAAAGAAGGGCGAAACCGGTCGTGGGCTGTCGAAGAGTTTTCAGCAACCTTGTGAGTGGTTTACTTGATGAAGATTTGTCTGACGAACCCCAGGGAGCTCGAAACCTGTAAGTGGTCTATCCAGAGTTTTTATTAAAATTACGACGTATCAAACCAAATACAACAATTCTCAAAATCCACAACAATTTTTTTTGAAAAATGTATCCCTCCGCTCGCTTCTGAACATCTCACTTCCTGCCTGGCGCGATCATTCCGTTTAGTTCACACAAAATCCTGTACCAACAAACAACAAATCGACAACTATCCAGCGGGTTTCAAGCACCCGCTAGATCTGGTAGCCACGCTCTTCATTTGACACAACTAAGATATTTATTAGGGTGTCTAGCAAACCTTTCACATCACTCGATGATAGACATGTGTCCCTCCTCAGTTGTAGCAATTCAAGTGCGCCGGTAAGCTATCGCTAACGTGTTTGCCTCACCTGTAATTCACACCTAAGCACTACCAAAAGTATGAATTACTGCTGTGCCTTAATGAGAAAAATTGAGCCAGTATTTCCAAGTTTGCTGTGAAGTAGCCAGAGCAACCATGTCGGGACAGCAGGATGACTGTTCAAACGAGATGTGAATACGAAGTGGCATCGCAGATAAAACCTCAACACATGCAGCCTTGTGGGTGAAAATAGAGCTGGTGATCAGGAATAACCAAAGAATCGTTGCTCCTTTCTAGGTAGGTTTTCTCATTCAAAGGATCCATGCGGGATAT